ATCGGAAACCACCCCCAAAGTTTGAAATCGAAGCATTATTTCGACTAGTTATGCTGTACACAGACACAAAAAAAAAAAAAACACATCATTGTAAAATCAATACATTCATCACTTCGTTCAGAATCTAAAACAGGTATGTCAGTTGATGTCACTCTGATGTACAGTAGAATACAAGAGGGTTACTGTAATGGATGGAATTAAATTTGAATCCAATGATATTATATCATTGTATACGAAAAACGATATTGAGCGGAAACGGTTTATCTGTCTAGGATAGATTATTAAAAATTTTTATGTTGTCAAAATTTAAATTTTGAATGCTTATAAAAAAAAAATTGCGACTATATATTTATTTTATTTTGCAACTGCTATTGTAAAAATATGTTAGGAGCCTTGTATTAAATTTTCAAATCTTAGAATTAAAAAGAAAAACTTTTATGAATTTTTATTTAAGATAATTTGAACATTGCCGTAATTTTTACGTATTTAGTCAAAATTTGAATTTTAAATGATTTWAAAAAAAAAAATCGTACCTATATATTTTTAATATTTTTTAACTGCTATTGTTACAATGTGTTAGAAGTCTTGTATTAAATTTTCAAACTTTTCTACCGAACAAATAAATTTTCATCGATATTTATTGGAAAAAAAACTAAAAAAGTTGAAAAATTAAAATGTCAGTGAACAGCTCAAAAACAAATCTAAATATTTTGAAAATTTTATCAAATATATAAAATGCATATATAAACATTCAGTGAAAATTTCAAGTATCTGTGATCATTTGTTTTAGAGTTACACCAAAATAAGGTAATCGCTAAAAGTGAAAATCCAATGTTGTATTAATTAAAAAAAAGCTAATAATGATAATAAATTGCATAATATGCCTATGAATAGTTCAACTTAAGTCGAAAATTTTTGAAAATTGCATGGTGGATAGAATATACTTACATAAATATTCGGTGAAAATATCTAATATAATCTTAGATTTAAAAAGAAAATTTTTTATGAATTTCTAGCTTAAAAAAATTTGCGAATTTTTGTGATTTTTACGTATTTTTTCAAAATTCAAAATTTGAATGCTTATAAAAAAAAATTGTTATAATTGTTTTAGATTCTGAACGAAGTGATGAATGTATTGATTTTACAATGATGTGTGTTTTTTTTTTTTTTTTATGTTTGTTTTTGT